ATTTGTCTTCAGGAAGGGAAGAGCATGTTGTACAGAGATTGTGTTTCTATCAAATGTTTCTGTGTCTTTAGCTGGTGTTTCTCTTGTGTCTTTGTGTCTGTGTAGAGTTTCCAGTCTCTCTCTGTTCCTCCTGGATCTACAGACTCGCCCAGCATCACTCTCAGTTCTCGTCTCACTTTTGATGATGTTGGAAAATCTGTGTCTGATCTTAGAGAGAAACTAGAGCATTTCTGCAGAGAGGAGAAAAAAAAGATATCTGCTAGAGGTAAAATACTGGACAAGCATGCTTTCTGAAATAAGTCAAATATCAATCAATTTAATGTGCATTAAAATGAACATGGAATTGATTAAATGTTTTCACCAAGGATGTCTGTTGGTTTCCTTAGTAAGATACATACAGATCATTCCCACTCATGAATATGAGAGCAGGAAGGAGTTCCTACAATGTAAGTGACCAGATGAGCCCCCCCCAACACACACACACACACACACAGAAACAAGCTACTGTACATTTAAACACTGTGAAGAACACAGGAGTACACTGATTAATCAAATAAGTATCCAAAACTAGATGTTTTGATAGTGACTGACTGTTGAAAGTTGAACTAGACGTCTTCTCTGTCTGATTCCTACAACTTAAGAAAACATGCAATATGAGTTTCAGCTAACATGCTGTATTATTGATTAAAATTCAGATGATTCAGTTTATTGATTTTATATTCTTTCACCATCAGATTTCCAGCGATTTACACTGGACCCAAACACAGCACATAAACGCCTTTATCTGTCTGAAGGGAACAGAGTGTTTACCGACACTCAGATAAACCAGCCATATCCTGATCATCCAGAAAGATTTGATGCTTACCTTCAGGTGTTATGCAGAGAGTGTGTGTGTGGACACTGTTACTGGGAGGTTGGATGGACTGGACATAGATGGTTGAGTATATCAGTGTCATATAAGAGTATTGGCAGGAAGGGAGACTGTGCTGCAAGTAGAATTGGAGCTAATAATCATTGCTGGTCTTTGATGTGCTTTATTGACAAATGTGAGTTCTGGTAATCACAGTAATGTAATGACTGCACTCCCTGTAGTCTCCAGCTCCTCTAGAATAGGAGTGTATGTGGATCACGGTGCAGGAACACTGTCCTTCTACCGTGTCTCTGACCCAATGACCCTCATTCACAGAGTCCACACCACATTCACTCAGCCTCTCTATCCTGCGTTCTGGATAGATCCAGGAATAGGTGTGAGACTGTTTGATCCTTAATGTTGGTGGTATCGAGATTCTAACAATAATAATCCCATATAATTAAGGCTGATCATGTTATGTTGTTTACATTATTTGTTGATGTTAATGTCTTCATTTCTTTAATTTAGCTTGTTAAATATTGGTAAATATATCCTGTTTATGACATAGACAAAAAGACATAAGGGCTTAATTTCTTGCAATCATGAACATGCATTTTAAGAAGAAACAAATGTATTTTGTACTTAAAACACAGATGACTGCTAATCACCATTAATTCCTTTTTGTGTACATATATGTGCTCCATTCAACTATCAGAATGTGCTCTTTCTCTGTCCAAAAGCATTTAAGCATTTTTAATGTGATTGAACACATTAAATTAAACATGAAATGTTGACGTAGAGAGACTGAAATAGTATTTTCCTGTAAAATGTACTCCAGCAATCTTTATTTCATTTTCAACTTGGAAAAATCTTTTTTAAAGTGTGTGCTTTTTAAGATGTCAAATCAAACATTTGTATAAAGCTGTGGAGAGCATCCTTTGTATGATTCTTTATGCAGTGGATAATTGAGCATTTGACGCTGTCATTGATTTCCCTAACACTCCCACTAGTCCAAGTCTGTCTTTAAATTTGTATTCCCCATTAAATGATTAGCAACAACAATCTTCTGAGTTAAGCAGTGTTGGAGACTATGAAAGCTATTTTGGTGTTTCTTTACTGGCAGCACTGAAAAAAGAACCACAGAACAGGCGAACAGAGAGACCTTTATGTGTGGAGCAGAAGGCCTCACTGCTGGCATACATACACACTGAGTCACAGACTGAGAGAAGAAAGAGAGTTATTTTGTATAAAGAGAATTCTTCTGTTTTCAATCAGGCACTGTCACATGAGCAATGCACAACGTTGAAACAAAGAAACAAAGTTGTTTCAAAGGTTTGTCCCTGTGATAAATGTTTTGTAAAAATGTTTCTCAACCCTTCTTGTGGAGGCCTCTAATGCTGCACATTTTGGATTTATTCCTTAACCTCCTGAGACCCTGCATCCTCATATGAAGACATTATATTTTAGTGAATTTCTCTGAGACTATACACGCCACAGTTCTGTCCTGTACAGAGCACATTCAGGGCTTTTCAGAAATACTAAATGTTTGGATGTTTCACCATGACCACTCACTCTCCTTGGTCTTCAAAAATGTCTGATATTAATTTAGTGACGCTCTTATGGAAATATGATAATGTTTTGTAATTATCATTTAAATCTGACTAATTTTTAAACTGTGTATCATAAATCAACATCTCAGGAAAATGTTATGGGGTTCCAAATCAAAATATTACTTTCTGTTACGAAACAGGACGTTGATTTCACACATTTCCTCATATGAGGACACCGAGACTAACGAGGACATGTTTATTACGCATTTTGGGAGACACAACAAATGAATAGGGAAAGAAAATATATTTCAATATTCCTATGAAATATTATATATTATTATGAAAATCTTGTCAGTTATTACTCCCATTATTACACTTCTTTTTTCAATACATGTTGCCCCAAAAACACATTAATATGCAAATTAGATTTTAGTTTATATACATTATATATAATGAGAAAACCTGTTTATAGCCATTTTACACACATTTTGCATGAAGAAAAATGGTATTTCAAATAATTCTGTTATAACATAGTTGAGAATTATCTTTATACAAAGTTTTTAAATATCTTTATTTTCTATTTTATTTTTTTGCATTTTTTTCAATGCTCTAAACAATGTAATGACATGAACAAATACTAATTTTTTCCTAAAATGTTTTCCGGGTCTTAAAGAGGTTAATTGACAATAATTTAGTTGATAGCAGTTGACCAGCAGTTTGCTGAGCAAACTTCCACAGAGGCCAAAAGATGACTTACAATTATTTCATTATGTAAAAGTATTTTTAAATAATACTTTGTAAACATATATAAAACAATAACCTCTTAAACAAATTTATATTTGCATTTATAGGTAGGCAAATTGTAATATTTGAATCACTATATCATTCTAACTGTCTGTCTGTCTGTTTGTTTTTTAACAGGACTGAGTCAAGAAGAGGTGTGTCTTCAACATGCTGCTGCGTGTATATCAGGCAATAAACAGCAGTGGCTGTGGGTAGGTCTCCTCTGCTGTGTGTGTGTTAGAAAAGCTTGAATGGGCCAGTTAGTAATACAAGTAGGCTGTTGAGCAATGTTTAATTGTCATTGAGCGACCTCCACTGGGCGTGACTTTCTGAAAATCTTGGACACTCGCAGTTCGTGTATTATCTCCTAATTTCTTGTCTTATCTCCCATTGGACTCTGATGTTTAATATAGTGCGGTGATGACAAGCATTCTTTCACTTTTAAAGTAGCCTAACATTCGCAAAACCTGGACTTATCGCGTGAAGTGCACCGTGAAGCCTTTTTTTTTCCGGACCAGTCTTCTAGGTTTTTGTTTTCCACTCAGAGTCTCTTTAATAATGTTGGAGTGTTTATTGACGGTCTTTCTGGGCTTTATCTCCGTGCTGCTGTTCTGCGCTTTCTGCAGTCGCAGGCGGTGAGTTTTCTGACTATTTTGCTGCTTGTTGCCATGTAGCCGATGTTTATTCATTGTAATACGGATGAATACTTTGTTTAAATGAATGTTTGTGTTTAATTGTGCTTATGTGTCTATGTGGAGCGTGTATTTATCATTAGGCAGACGCATTTTGTTCAAGTATTTGAAGAAATTAACTTGAAGAAATTTCAAGTAGGCCTATATTTGAAACATGCTGAATCAACAGATTTATGATTAGTCTGAACTGTCCAAGCAGATGAAGCTACACTCTTAAAAATAAAGATTCTTTATAGGCATTGATGGTTCCATGAAGAACTTTTAACATCTGTGGTCCACAAAAGGTTCTTCATGGTGTAAAAAGGTTCTTTAGAGTATTAAAATGTCCTTCACACTGTAACACGTTCTTTCAAGAACTCTTTACTGAAAGGTTTTTGGGGAACCAAGGCTTCCAGTGATGGGTAGCTGGATAAGAATTTCTTTCGAACAATTCGAACCGATTCAGTGACTCGATTACGCCATCTCTGTTCTCTAAAATGTTCCAATAAAGCCATATGTAGAGGTATAATTTTATTACATGTTATTTATGTTTATCATTTCATTGGTTCCAGTTCCATTTGTAACAGCCATGATTTGGTTCATAAAACATTAAGTCATCTTAAATATAATTGTATAATTGTATATATATATATATATATATTATATATTATATTTTATAATATAATTTTTCCAATCGTTCAGAGCAGCGTTTCCCAAAAGCATCGTATCTGAAGTAGATCGTACTAGAGACCATGCGTACCTGCATTGTAAACTGGTTTAAATAGTTAATTGAAAAGATTCGACTGAAAAGATCGGTTCATTCACGAATCGGACATTTGTTATTTTGGTGCACAGATCCTATTGATTCAAAACCGCTTTGTTTGCATGTTGAAACAAGGATGTGTATTACAACATGACTGAAGCACACTACATGTAGCCTATTACCACAAGAGTGTTAAGTTAATTTGAAAATTTGATATCTGTACTTAATTTGTGTATAGTTGAAGAATGAAGAGGTGTAGTTCTGTTTTTACCTTGCTTCTCTTTTGTTCCAGGTAATCTATGCCTGTCTTTACAATAAGGTTATGTTTGCACAGTGTTTCAATGTTCATTGTTCATGGACTTCACAGATGGTCAGAGGTTTTTTTATTTTCCTGTTTATGTGCCGAGGCTTTGAGTTAGAAATTTACCCCACTATGGGCTGAAATGTTTTCTTGTTCATTCACTATGTGCTGCAGTGTGTTTTCTATATTCAGTTATCAAGCTGCAGTCTCAAAAGGAAGTTTGTAGAACTAATTCCCAAAGGGCCACCCCATGCTTTCCTGGTTGGACTCGAAAAGTAGGGCATGGGAGTTGTACATTAGCAGTAGATCACAGAAGTTATCACATAGTATTCTCAGTAAATGAGTCTTGGCTTTGTCATTTAAAATAATACTAGCATTTAAAACAAACTGAAACGCAACAAATAATTTTGTTTAGCACAATTATATCACTGCTTTACCACAGAGAACATTATCAAGAGAGCAGGTGACCTAGATGGTTGGGGTTTGTTTGAGTTTTTGTTTGTCTGAGAGAGTATTTTATAATGACATAGAATGGCAGTCTCTCAGACATTGTTGAAACAAGCATGTAAAAAAAAAAACTCTTACATTGTGTGTGCATGTTACAGGAAGGACGGTGAGCCTCTGCTGATTAAAGGCTGGATTCCATTCCTGGGAAAAGCTCTAGAATTCAGAAAAAGCTCTCAGCAGTTTCTTTCACAACTACAGCAGGAGCATGGAGATGTTTTTACTGTACTTATAGCAGGTATATGACAAATGCACAGTCATTTACTTAGCAATATTATACACAAATAATTTTTTCAAATGATAACGTCTTCTGACATTTTGTCATATTTTGCGCACACAGGTTTCCATTTGCTCTTCCTCTCAGACACAATGTTATTTTGCAACACATGCTCACATAGTTATGGTAATTAAAAAGATCCTGAAAGATACTGTGAGAATAGCAATTTTTGAATAGTTGACAAATAACATGGACCTTTTTATTATTATTATTTTGTACTTTGTTCTGGGAAGTTGCTATATAATTCTAATCGATCGTTTAGAGCTGCATTTTCAAAGGCATCGTGTCTGAAGTAGACTGCATTATGAACTGGTTTAAATTATTAATTGAAAAGATTAAACTCAAAAGAACGATTCATTCACGAATCAAAATTTGCTATTTTGGAGCACAGATCCTATTGATTCAAAACCGCTTTGTTTGCATGTTGAAACAAGGATGTGGGTAGGTGGTTGTTGACTAACTTACTGTCCCTCCTTTAAGTTTTATTTTATTTTATCCACTTGAGAATTTTAAGTCAGTAGCACCAACTGGTAATGGCAAGTTACAAGTTGTGGAATCCTTAGGGTTAGATCAGATTATGAATAATAGTGATGTTAATAAAAACCACTAAAATCATGCAAAAATGATACAAAAAAATCATTATGGCCTTACATATACCTGTTCATGTTTGTGTATTTCTTTAGGAAGGTACATTACATTCATAATGAATCCTTTTCTGTACCCGTCTGTGATCAAACACGGGAAACAGTTGGATTTCCACACGTTTTCAGACAGTGCAGCATCCAGGACATTCGGTTACTCACCATTACAGAGTGGCCTCTTCCCTGGAATGAGTGACAGCATCCAGCGGAGTTACACTTTGCTGCAGGGGTCTGCCCTCGACCCGCTCACATTCAGCATGATGGGAAATTTGCAGCAGGTCCTGCGATGCCGTTTTCTGTCCAGTGAAGAGTCTGGGTCTGATGGACATTGGCAAGAGGCAGAACTATATGAGTTTTGTAAATGCGTAATGTTTCAGACCACGTTTAACACGCTGTATGGACATTCAGCAAATCTGCATCTGGATCAGCTGCGAGAGGACATTGAGAAGTTTGATGGCATTTTCCCTTTACTAATGGCCCGTGTGCCCATCGCATTGCTGGGAAAAACCAAAGAAATTCGTGAGAAGCTAATAGGATTTTTCTACCCTCAAAGAATGGCAGAATGGAGGGCTCCATGCCAGTTCATACAGACCCGGATGGACCTGTTCCAGCAATATGACACGCTTCAGGACAGAGATAAAGCAGGTGACTCCCACATACACACACTAACGGAACGAACTATCTGACAAGCCTGTCAAAACATAGCTGTGCTTTAAGTGAGTAAATTCAGAGTAACAAAACTACAGCAGCAACAAGTCTGTGTTGCCTTTAGCAGCTTCTACAGGTAAAGATAACTTAAAGCTCTTTTTTATGTGTCCTTTTTTAGGCAATGTTTGAAAAATGTAGTTTGTAAATTAAATTTTAAAAAAAGCCAAAATATTTAATGCATTATTTAATTATTATACCATTAATAATTAACTTAATTTGTAGTTAACTAGTTAAGTATTTAAATAATTAACCCTACTAGTCTGTTGGTGTCTGGGATTATTTATTTATTTCTAAATTGTCTTATTTCTAAATGAAACAAGACTTTGTGACTTCCTGCACTTCCTATGCTTCATAGTCATTTTATAATAAATCCAAAAGTAAGACGTGAGAAAAACTAGGGAGTTGAAATGGCAACTGAGCTAATGAGTGATCGTCTGCTGCCATCTACTGGATATAATGGTCATTTTATGTCATTTTCATCATAAGTATTTGTTTTCCACCAGGAGACATTTTTTCCCCCTGTCTTCTTCTTCATGAATGAAAGTGAACATTTAAAGTGAATTTTGGCTTCACAATTTTTGGCTTAGTTAGAAAATAATAATAAATGCTTTAAATTATTATAATTGTTTAAAAAATGTAAGGTTTTATTTTGTTGGGGGGGAGGGGTGATGTGCTTGTCTTTGTCACCTTTTTCACCCATGATGAGTTTGCATCCCTGAACCTTAATAGAACATTTGTTTAAAGTGAATTGGTGTTTAATAATGCTCTCAAAATGTTATCACAAAAACATTTGTACATCGCTTAAATGTAACTACTTGTTTTGGAATGTTCAGAGAACATTCAAAAGTAACATTCTCATAATGTTTAAAAATATAAAATAGAATGTTTCCCCTACGTTTGCAGAATGTTTTAAAAACATTTTAAAAACCTGGACTATTTGAATGTTCAGGGCACATTCAAAAAGGACTTCACTAGTTGCGCTGTCTGTTTTGTGCTGCAGATTGACAATAAAACATGACAAATAATATTGGTCAATAAAAAGCAATATATATATATATATATATATATATATATCACAAGCACACTATTTTTTTATTTTCACAGTCATTGGTGTGTGCGGCAGCAACAATACTACAGCGAGAATCAAAGTTACGCCTTCTTTCTTTGCGTGAAAATTTGGGCGGCGTTATGCAAATCTTCCCACACAGTGACGTAGACATGTGGGGGCGTGTTAGAACAAGCCATTTTAGGTAGGAGTGGTTGACTCTTAACTTTTATAAAGAATATCTCTTTGGATTTGAGACTTTAGTCTTTGCAACTACAGATCTTCTTTATGCACCAAGAGCTTGTAACGAATTTGAATTGTGTCGAATTCGCATCATATGACCCCTTTAAATTCCTGCCCTGGGGTGTTGCCAAGATGACTCCTGATTTCTGACTAAATTGACTTGTCTTAAAGGGGCTTTTTGCCATCAGTTTCTGTCTGATGAAATGTGGAAGCAGGATGTGCATGAGCAGTGAATGCTCATCATGACTGTGTTGGACCAATGCCCAGTGGTTTACACACACACACACACACACATAGCTTTCTTTCTTTCTTTGTCCATAGCGCATCATTTTGCCATGCTGTGGGCAGCAATGGGAAACACCATCCCAGCAGCCTTCTGGTGTCTTTACCACCTCATCTCCTGCCCTGAAGCCCTTGAAGCAGTGAGAGCAGAGATTATCAATGTGGTTGGAGAGAAGAACATGAAGTTGATCTTTGAAGAGGACATCACAATTACACGACAACAGCTAGAACAGATGGTTAACCTGGGTAACATGTGCATTCTTACATAGTAACCCATCAAACATATCAATTATCGTCTAAATAGTGCAATAGATTTAGAGTTACTATGCCAGTTTTCAATAATTCATACTGTGTTTTTCTCTGTGCAGAGAGTTCAATAAATGAGAGTTTACGTCTCTCCTCTGTATCAATGAACATCCGTATAGTTCAGGAAGATTTCTGTTTGCGTCTGGATGCCCAGCATTCAATCAACCTGCGAAAAGATGACATGGTTGCTCTTTACCCACAAAGCACACACCTTGACCCTGAAATATATGATCAGCCTCAGGTAACATGCATTTACAGCTGCCTAGATCAGTGATTCTCAACCAGGGGGCCTCAGCAATTATTATCAATGCTGAAGACAATTTTTGCTGCTTCATATTTTTGTGGAAACTGCAATACATTACCATTCAAAAGTTTAGGGAGAGTATGACTTCAAGAAAGAAAAAAAAGAAAATAATACTTTTATTCAGCAAGGATGCATTAAATCTATCAAAAGTAAAGACTAAGTAAAGGCTTATAATGTTACAAAACATTTCAGTTTTTTAGTCAATTCTGTTCTTAAGAATTTTCCATTCATGGAAGAACGCTGGGAAAAAAATGTATCTGGACTTCCACAAAAATACTAATAATAGGAATTATTATTAATAATTGAGAACCAATAATAATTGAGCACCAAATCAGCATATTGTAATGATTTCTAAAGCGATTAGTCAACAGAAGAGACAGACGGCTGCACGTGAGTGTCCTGCGTAATACTTGTTTATAGATCTGCTGTTGGAATTATTACTTGCTGCTAGGAAGGAATATTTCGTTTTCTGCCTATTTCTACGTTATATTTTTGTTTGCGTTTGTATTTTTGATTGCACTTTCTGGTAATTATAATAATTGCCCTCGGCTAAGAAGGAGCGCGTGTAATTTAATTGCTCCCTTCCTGCGTTTAAGTGCGAACTGTAGTTTCGATTTGAGGAATTGCCCTGCTATAGACTATTGGCTGTGCTAATTAGAAGGCGGCCACAGCTGTTTTCACTTTAGTGTCTTAGACTGTGTATTTATCTGATGTCTGTGCGCTGACGCGGAAGCATCAGCGGAAGCGTTCAGGCCTCCTTGTGTAAAGACCAACGAGTGTAAAGACCTGCGACTTTACCTGCGCGACTTCACCGAGCAACGAAATCGCCAAGGCACTTAAGTATATTTTTGCTCTTCCCTGTACACACTCTCCTTTTCTGTCCTCTCTTTTCCACCTCTATCATGTGTTTCCAAACCATTCCGGTTGTCTCTCGACAACGCTCTAAGGTCACACGCAGACGGCAACGCAATGTTGCTAACCTGCATCCTCTCTCTACATCCTCTACTGCACCTCTTTCTTTCTCTGTGGGTCTCTGGATCATGGAACACTGACGACTGGAGTAATGACTGCTGAAAATTCAGCATTGCCCTCACAGGAATAAATTACAATGTATTACTCATCCATTAAATCTCAAATAATAAGAAGTCATGGCCTTTGAATATTGTTTTGGACAATGGGGGACTTGGAAGTCAAAAAAGGTTGAGAATCACTGCCCTAGATCCACCTAGTGGACCTCATTTTAAACATACTAAGTTATTGTTAGAAAACTCATTTATTGAGATGTCTTTTCTGTGCGATTTCTTGTAGCGCTTCCAATTTGACCGTTTTGTGGAGGACGGGAGGGAAAAAACAGATTTTTATAAATGTGGCCAGAAGGTCCGGTACTATCGTATGCCTTTCGGCTCCGGAGCCACACAGTGTCCAGGGCGTTTTTTCGCGATGAATGAGCTGAAGCAGTTTGTGTGTGTGACTCTGCTCATGTGTGAAATGCAGTTGCCGGAGAACCAGCAGGAGGCGATGCTAGACAACAGCCGTGCTGGTCTGGGCATCATGCCACCCGTTAATCCAATCACTTTCAAATACAGAACCAAAAAAACGGGACAACATGAAGAGGGAGGAATGGACTAAATGAATAGAGAGTGACTGTTTTCTGTTCTTTGCTTGGGTATCTTGCTTTCATTTTTTTCACAGCTATACACTGCAGTTTGAATCAGGGTTTGATGCACTACAGTGAACAGCCTTCTATGTATATGCAACTGTTACATAATAGCAACTTTTCAAACATCTTACCTCTAATAAATCAATTTTATCTAGTCACTGGGTGTAAATAACAATTATAAACTCAAAGTGGCAAAGGCTGCACATGCAAGTCAACTGGATTTCATGCACTGCAGCTCATCTAGACTAATCATTTCTTGATTTCAGCATTGAACATTAAAAGGTAATTGTTTCTGCTATTTTAGTTTATTTTAAACCCTTATTGAACAGTCATAAAATGTATATGGAATAAACAAATTGATGTTCAAAAGTTTGGTAAGATTTTCAGATATTTTTGAATTATCAAATCTGACAATGAATAATCATTTGCTTCAATACTATTAGACTATATACACTATATACTCTGCTGATATAGTAAATGGCAAGTTCAAATACAGTTTAGACACAGAAATCAGACAAAGGCATCATGGGACACTCAATACTTTACTGGAATGTTAGAGGGACAGCATGTGCAAAAATGAACAAATGTAACTCGTTTCAATAGCTACTGTACAACACTGTGTAACAAACAAATAAAACACCTCCACATTCTCAGTGTGGCTCAGGTTTTGCTTTTATACTGAGATTGTAACAGTCAACACTCGTAAATACTTTTTTACTTCAAGCCACAAATAAGATGACAATTATTCATGCATATTAAAGTGCTGCCATTTCACAGATTAAACAAGATCTCATTTCAACAGGTGGACACCAGGTAAGCAACATTTAGGGTCAAAAAGCAACATTAGTAGATGTTTTTGAGGTGTGATGGAAAAAGGTCCTCAGGTCAGAAGCCAATGTCAAGTTGTATCCTGTGCTCAAAAACAGCAATGATAAGCATGATGGCGAAGCCCAGGAGTATCCCAGCATTCTGCAGGAGGGAGAAGCCATAGTGACTGAAGCCTGCTTCGCTTGCGTCATTGTGTAACATCTCGGGTACCTTCAAAACACACACACACACACACACACACACACACACACAAAAAGTCAATTTTAGAGATCACAGTTTCAACTAGATAAACACAGAGGACCACAATGTGTACGTTGCAATGTTTTATTCACATTACAACAATATTTTCCCTTAAAAATACATATAATTAGATCAACTGTATGTGTTGAAGATAAAGAGGAACAGTGTTATTTTGGAATTATTTATATACAACATCGGTTTTTATTAATATTTTGAATTGGTGTTTTATATTTTAAGTTTTCATTTGAATTTATGAATTTTGTTAGGTTTTTTTTGTTTCATTTATATTTCAGTTTTAGTTTTTATTTCGACAATAATTTAGTGCTTCAACTTAAAATTATTTCAGTTTAATTTTAGCTCTTCATTCAATTAAATTCCATTTTATTTCAGCTGTATTTCAATTAACAAAATGTTTTATTAGTTTTAGATAACAATAATAACCCAGCTGAAGATAATATTTCTAGTAGAATGTCTTTTTTAATTCTGCTCTCCTCAATCACAGAATTTATTTTTCTGTGCTACTCACCATGTCCACAAGAGCGACGTACATGAATAACCCAGCCGTGAGAGCAAAGATCCATGTGGCAACATTTTCAGCATAATGACCGATCAGAATGCCTGTGATCATGCCCAAATATCCCATCAAGGCTGAGAGCAGATTATACAGGATGGCCTGCGCCTTCAGCAAGACCGCAAAATCACCTGCATCAAAGAGGAGGATAAGGCAGGTGTGTTGAAAAAATAAAAAACATTTAAAAGTTTGATGGACAACAACCTGACTTCTGATTCCTTAGTCAATTCCATACTGAATACTGATTCATTTCTAAAGTCAAACAAAACTGTCACCATGATAACAGACAATGTCTTACCAAGCTCATGAGGAAGCTCATGGCAGAACACAGCAACTGAGGTACTAAGACCACTGGACAAACCTTCTGTGAATGCTGCCCCTGAAATACAAAATTGCACATAATCTGTAAATGCTGTTCCAAAGCCGTGTATGAAAAAGCCTTTGTGTGCATTTTTTGTGATAAACATTTGATTCAATTTGAAAAGCACATATCAGTTTTATTAAATGCACAGTACAGGTGCATCTCAATAAATTAGAATGTCGTGGAAAAGTTCATTTATTTCAGTAATTCAAATCAAATTGTGAATTTCCACGACATTCTAATTTATTGAGATGCACCTGTATATATGCATGCACATACATGCATCAACTTTTTTACACTTGTATTGCAAATCTAAGGTTTTATTTGTTTTATGTGTGTGTAAATTTTACCAATGGCAAGTCCGTCACTGAAGTTGTGAAGACCGTCTCCCATGATGATCATCCAGGCGAGTGTGGCCACGCCAGCCTGCTGGAAGTGCTGGAGCGAGTAGGAGTGTGTGTGTCTGTGCGTGTGTATGTGCGGGTGGTGGTTCTGGGAGTGGTGGTGATGCAGTATGTGGTGATAGTCATGGTGATGATGATGACTCATCTGACTGGCCAACAGTGTCATGGAAGTGGGAGTGGCATTTGTTTTCACAATCCATGTCACTGTAGAGCTCAACATCACCTCCTCTTCCTCTGCAATGCCCCGCCCACATGTGCTTCCACCATTCGTTTCAGCAGCTGATGTTACAGAAAAATCTAAATCATGTACGACAATTTCATTTTGACTGCATAAACATTTACAAGCATCAACAAAAAGTGAAGTTACCGTTAACTGTTTTGACGTCATTGTCTTCTAATGATGGCAGTTTCTCAGCTTCCAAAACTTCTGTGGCGAGATCAACCCTCTTCTGCACCTACAAACACAGAGATAATACTTTAAATTGCAGAAATTCAAGAAACGACATTAAAACATTCAGGGAATTAATGCTATTAATTAATTAGACACACTGCACGATTTCCGGCTGTCCTAGACGAAAAATTGCCATCGTGAAACAATCGTGGCGATTTCTATGATCGTGGCTCCTAATCGGCGGTCCTATGCCGTACAGTGAGAGAGGTTCAAAGGAGAGGTTTGCTGACCTTCTGTTTTTTGTCTTTGTACATTTTGCCGAGGGTCAGGAAGTGTTCGATGAGGAACATGATGTAGACTCCACTCAGAGCTGTGAGCCCTATCCACACAGGCCGAAGGGAATCCTCTTCCACCTCTTCACTGTGGTGATGGTGCTCAAGGGTGGCCATGCTGGTGATGACCCTGAGACTGACAGGTGCCAATCAAAGGTCAATAAAAAAATCTTGCAGAATATAGAAAAACATGTATAGACTACGTGTATAGTGTATGTAAATGTTTGGGCTTAGTTAACAAAAAAAAAAATTCAAGAAATTCATAATTTAATTCAGCTGGTATGCATTAAATTAATCAAACGTGACAGTAAAAGACATTTATAATGTTACAAATAAATGCTGTTCTTTTGAACTTTCTATTCATCAAAGAATCCTGAAAAAAATGCACTATGGTTTCCACAAAAAATATTAAGCAGAGCAACTGTTTTCAACATTGATAATATTAAGAAATATTTCTTGAGCACCAAATCAGCATATTAGACAGATTCCTGTAGGATCATGTGACACTGAAGACACAAACATTAGGCCTTAAAAACAACAGTACTAAATTTGAATGCAAGTTTGTATCTTACATGTGGTATGAGGTGGAGAAAAGCATCTCCGCTGAGAGTTCCCACTGCAAGGGCTACCAAGTTGAAGCAAACTCTGTTCATGAGTGGGATCAAAACCACACCAACTAATGCCAGTAAACTGATCAAAGTAATGGAGAGAAATCCTCCTACCCAAGCTGTAACATAAACACACACACACAAATTTATTAAATGAATGTGTAGTAATTCATACCGGTTGATTTTAGTGTTTTATTTTTAAAGCATTTAGTCAAATAGTATAGAATTTTAAAGGGGTGGTTCATTGCGATTTCACTTTTTTAACGTTAGTTAGTGTGTAATGTTGCTGTTTGAGCATAAACAATATCTGCAAAGTTACGAAGCTGAAAGTTCAATGCAAACGGAGATATCTTGTCTTTTAAAATTCGACATCACAAACCCAGATAAACCCCGCCCTCGGGAAAAGGCAGCAGCTGCTTTACAGAAGAGGAAGAGAAAAGTAGAGGTGCACGTAAAAATCTGTTCATATACGAATTGCGATTCTGTCTTCTAACGATTCTAATGGATTCACAATAAAACTGTACATTAAAAGCTAACAGAAGCAATAGCATTTACAACAGCATATCTAAAAGTATGAGCAGCGTCGGCGCCACGGGGGGTGGGCTGAGGGGGCCCGGCCCGGCCACCTCGGTCACTGTGCCCCCTTACCTCTGGTGCCGTCTCCGTAGTGGGTGCTCTGATTTTAGTCGGTGAGGCAAGGTACTGCCCTGGGAAGGTTAACACAATCAAGCCTAGAAAAAAAACAGTGAACCACCCATTTAATACTGTCCATTTATCAGTTATCAACCATAAAATGATACTTAATTATCAGCCCCTGATTGTGCATCCCCAAGTTTGTGTGTTTATCTAAACCAAAAGTAAAGCTATGATTTCATTGGCTGAACCTACTTGCTCAGGTGACTGGCTATTTGCCTAATATAAAATGTAATTTGCATCAATGGAAGACAATTATCATAACATAAACATAATGAATATGCAACTTAGCCTTGTTATATCTAGAACTAAAAGATATTAAGTAACACATACTTACCAATGTTAATCGAAGCATTCCTTGGGCTTCTGCTGCCATTAGTGTGATTATGCAGATGATGATTGTGATGATGATGATGGTGGTGGTGTTGGTTGTGATGATGGGAATTATCTGGAAAAAAGTTAATTTTTATACAGATTCTGCTGATCAACTATTGCAACTGTGACACAAAAACACAACTTTATGTAAATCACATCCTCAAAAGCTCACCTGAATGCTCTTCAGCGTGCAGGAGGCAAGAATTGGAATCAATCTGCATGAGATGGGCAGGGCACAGGTAACTGAAGTCCTTGACAGAGACACCCATTTCCTTTGTCATGCCATGTGACTGCAGGATTGTGGAGGCATTTTGACACTGAAAGAGAAAAGACAGGACTTTTGTGTGCGGAGTATGCCATGGATTTTCAAGAGTCTTTGGAAAGGTTTAAAGAAAAACAGTGTAAGAAATGTAAAAAGAAATAAATTAAAAGGTTATAATAAAATAAAAAATAGATTAGATATTAGATAAAATGTAAATAAATAAATAATAATGTAACTGTACCGCTAGGCTTGTATGGTCAAGTCCATGCTGATCATGGTCATCGTGCGTATGGGCAGGTGTGTCCTCAGTCTGGTGGGTGTGGTTAGAGTGTGTTACATTGCTCTGGGTGGAGTTAAATGGGGCGTGATCCTGCGTTAAATCATAGTCAGCACTACGATTGGTCCGCCGTGATTTTGTGACATAGGATGGCGTAG